CTTACGAAATCTCTGGTATGTGCAAAGATTAGAGAGCAGAACAAAGGGTGTAGCGGGTGGGGGGCGGGTACACATCTATCTTTGTGTCCTTTCAGCGGCGATAGCAGGAATTTATTCAATCAAGACAGCACTCCACAGGGAGGAGTGGGCCCGAGCGAGCGGCTCCAGAGCCCCGTTTACAAAGTTTTTGGGGGTTAAAGTATTTCTTTTGAGGTCTGTATGGGCTACCCCTTATCTATGCCCTATGCCCTATGCCCTATGCAGATGGGTGCCCTGTGCAGGTGGAGGGGTGGCCAGTGCTTGGCCACTCCTGGGCTCTTTCCTTTTCCATCTGAGACGTGGTTGAAGGGGCAGGGCGGTAGGGAGAGCGGCCTTTGATTCTTTGTTGCTCCGGATGGAAAGATGGGGTTTTTCCTTTTGGCCTAGTTTTGGAAAGTTCGGGTTAATTGGCCTTAGATTCCCTGCCCCCAGATCCAGGACCCATCCTTTTTCTTCTTTCTTATTGGAGATGGGTCTCTGTTGCCCAGGCGGGAGTGCAGTGGCATGAACTCAATTAATTGCAACCCCCGCCTCCCAGGTTCAAGTGATTCTCCTACCTCAGCCTTCCGAGTAGCTGGTTCTACAGGCCCACACCAGCACACCCATCTTATTTTTGTATTTTTAGTACAGATGGAGTTCTGCCATGTTGGCCAGGCTGGTTTCCAACTCCTGACCTCAAGTGATCTGCCCGCCTGGGTCTCCCAAAGTGTTGAAATTACAGGCGTGAGCCACCACACCTAGGCTTTTTTGTTTTTAAGATAAATCTCACTCTTGTCACCAGGCTGGAGTACAGTGATGCAATCTTGGCTCACTGCAACCTCCGCCCCTGGGCTCACGTGATCCTCTCATATCAGACTCCTAAGTAGCTGGGCCCAAAGACCCACAGACGTGCACCACCACACCTGGCAAAATTTAGGTAATTTTAGTACAGATGGAGTTTTACCGTATTACCCAGGCTGGTTTCGAACTCCTGAGCTCAAGCAATCCACCTGCCTTGGCCTCTGAGTGCTGTGATAACAGGCGTGAACCACCACATCCAGCCTCTGTGTGGGGTTTGGTCAGGGCTGGGTCTGTGTCCTAAAGGGGAGCTCATTCCAACCCAGCTCCCACTGCTGCAGCGTGTGTGTGGGCTTCTCCAGGAGGGAATTGGGTTCTGAAGAAAGGGCTCAAAATTCATGTAGTTTTCCTGTTGTCCCTGCTGCAGTGGGCAGCAGAGAGGACCATATTTCCTCAGGGTGAGGTCTCCTTTGTATTCGTCATTGTGTTACAGGGAGGGTGTGTGTTGATTCTGAGCAATCAACAACATATTTTTAACATTCAAGATTGACTTCTAAAGACTCTTGGTACGTGAGGAAGAAACCCTGAGGAAGATACCTGGAAAAGGAAGAGGAAAGCAAAGGAGTCAGGGATGGCTCCTCCTCAGGTGAGATGATATTCTCGGTGGATTGTTCTGTCTCATTCCTTTTTGAAACGCTGGGCCTTGGAGTTGGGAATCTTCTCTGAGTTCTTCCAGCCTGGGCGACAGAGCGAGACTCCATCTCAAAAAAACAAAAACAAGAAACAAAAAAAGGAAAAGTATAACAAAACACACTGGTGAGACAAAATGTGGTGGAAAATCCCTCACTCGGATTTGTCAGAACATTCACTGCAATTAAATCCATGCTTTCACCTCTCCTCATTTTTTCTAAAGATAAGAACTCCTCTCATAACCATTTGGTTAAAATGTGTTTTCATTTCAGGGTCTGTTGACATTCAGGGATGTGGCCATAGAATTCTCTCAGGAGGAGTGGAAATGCCTGGACCCTACTCAGAGGACTTTATACAGAGACGTGATGGTGGAGAATTATAGGAACCTGGTCTCCCTGGGTGAGGATAACTTCCCTCCAGAAGTGGGGATGCGCCCTTGCATATGTTTGTATTTTCTCATTTTTTCTTTTTGATAGAGTGTCTTGCTCTGTCACCCAGGGTGACATTAGCCTGTTGTTGATTATTTACCAATATAGTATATTGTGTGGCCCTTTAGCATTTGTATACAGTAGATATGCTATAAATATGAAAAATATATATTTTTCTCTTTCTTGATGTGACAGTGATATGTTTTTTGCAAACTGTTTCACACTTTAGGGTCACAGTGGAAAAATATTCCTTTTAAACTTGTTTGTGCCCTGTCAGTGTTTCGTCATGATATTGGGAGTAGGCTTCAGTTAAAAACAATTTGAAGTACATGTAATTGCCCTTTATTTATTAAAGAATCTTACCCTTTTGTGTTCCTAACCTTTGAAGATCATGTTTGGGAAGTTTAAAATGAGTATTGTTTTTAGTGTCATATTTATACAGTTCAGTATTATTTACCATCTATACTTAATTGGAAACCTATTGGTGTTTACATTTTGTAGATATCTATTCCAGATGCATGATGAAGGAGTTCTCATCAATAGCAAAAGACAATACAGAAGTGAATCACACAGGGACAATGCAAAGACATAAAATTCATCCCACTGGAGATTTTTGCTTCCAGGAAATTGAGAAAGATATTCATAACTTTGAGTTTCAGTGGCAAGAAGATGAAAGAAATAGCCATGAAACACCCATGACAAAAATAAAATGGTTGACTGGTAGTACAGACCGATATAATCGAAGGCATACTGGAAAGAAGCCTATTAAAAATCAGCTTGAATTAAGCTTTCATTCACATCTGCCTGAACTACACACATTTCAGAGCAAAGGAGAAATTAGCAATCAAGTTGAGAAGTCTATCAATGATGCTTCCTCAGTTTCAACATCCCAAATAATTTCTTGTAGGCCCAAAACCCGTATTTCTAACAACTATGGAAATAATTTCCTCCATTCATCATTACTCACACAAAAACAGGAAGTACACATAAGAGAAAAATCTTTCCAATGTAATGAGAGTGACAAAGCCTTTACTTATAGATCACTCTTTTTTTTTTTTTTTTTTTTTGAGACGGAGTCTCGCTCTGTCGCCCAGGCTGGAGTGCAGTGGCCGGATCTCAGCTCACTGCAAGCTCCGCCT